GATGGATGGATGGATGGATGGATGGATGGATGGATGGATGGATGGATGGATGGATGGATGGATGGATAGATAGATAGATAGATAGATAGATAGATAGATAGATGATGGATGGATGGATAGAATTAATTTATTTAGAATTGTAATTAAAGGGGGAAAGGCATTTTCACATATAAACAAAAATTAATAAAAGCAAAACTTACAAACCTTTTTATGTCATTGCTGAAATATATCATGTCTATTGTAAAAAAAAATGTTTAAGATATATTTGTGTTTTTGGATGGAAATAAAAACTAATTATATCAATATCAAAATAATTCAGTAATAAAAATACATAAATCAATAAATAAACTGACAATATATATATATATATATATATATATATATATATATAAATTCACTAATTATCTTTCTCATTTATAAACAAAAAATTAATAAAGGGAAACCTTACCAAATGTTTTATGTAATATGTTTGTTTGTCTGTTTTTAAAGGAATATTTAATATATTTGGATAGAAATGTCTGGTATCTTGATGGTTTTGAAATAAAAAATCAATTAATAATAAATCAATAAATAAAACCCATTCTGAACTCTACTGAACAATTATATCGTCCGTTCTGCATGATCTGATCTCAATAATGTTCTCAATATTTTTATTTCTGTTTAAGTGTAACTAAACTTTTTTTGTAAATTGTTTCAAAACGTTCAGAGAACATTCAAAAGTGATGTTCCCATTATGATTTTCCCTCAACATTTAAAAAACTAGATGGTTTGAATGTCAGAAACATTGTTTTCAGAAGTTAATGTGCTTTCACATAAATTAATCTGTTTTCACATAAGTTAAAACATCTTGTGCTTAGAATCAGCACAGATCACACATCTTATAAATAATATTGTAAAAATAATATTAAAAAATAATCTTGTAAATAATGCACAAATCTGTAGCTACATAATATAATACCACATTATTATTGTTATTATTACTACTTATTTTTTATTTTATTTTTTTATTTAGTCTTATTTAATTGTTCTGGTCCCACTTTACATTTAAATTAATCATTTAATGCAATGCACTATTTGTAGCAATAGCCAACAACACATTGTATGGGTCAAAATTATCAATTTTTCTTTTATGCCAAAAATCATTAGGATATTAAGTAAAGATCATGTTCCATGAAGATATTTTGTAAATTTCATACTGTAAATATATTAAAACTTAATTTTTGATTAGTAAGATGTATTGCTAAGGCCTTAATTTGGACAACTTTAAAGGCTCAAATATTTATATTTAATATTTATATATCCTCAATATCTTGATTTTTTTGCACCCTCAGATTCCAGATTTTTAAATAATTGTCCTAACAAACCATACATATAAATGGAAAGCTTATTTATACACACGAATCAAACCGCGTTTATTGAGTGCTGTTTATAACCTATTTGAATCATAAGGTCTTCGTTATACTTTCCAGTATCAAGTCTCCAAGTCTCCGTGAAGCAGCGCAATATGGATGATATAGAGACTGAGCTCAATATCGCAGCAGCGGCCGCGGATTCTCCAGAGGATGAGGGCAGAAATCACGAAGCGATAAACCGTTCTTCTCCACCAGTCTCATCCAGACCCCAGAGATGATGTCCTGATGATATCTCATCATATTTATTGAGCGTTTATGCGGTCTAGGGAACTCAAGCAGGTGTGAGTGAGTGTATTGAGTGACCCAAAAATGAAAATTGCTCTGCAGTGAATGGGTGCCGTCAGAATGAGAGTCCAAACAGCTGATAAAAACATCACAATAATCCACAAGTAATCCACAGCACTCCAGTCCATCAGTTAACATCTCGAGAAGCCAAAAGCTGCGTGTTTGTAAGAAACAAATCCATTATTAATTCAATTCAAGTTTGTTTGTATACGCTTTTCACGATACAAATCGTCGCAAAGCAGCTTCACAGAAAATAAAAGTTTCTACATTATATTTAGGAGTATCTTATCAGTGGTGACTATGTAACGGTGATGTCCATAATATGGCAGAAAGTAACATACAGTAAAAATCATGTAGTTAGTTAATGACATGTACTCAAATAGACTGTGAACACTATCGACAGCAATCAAATTTATAGCAAAATTTGGGAGTTTTGTATGTTGGTTCAGGGTTTGGTCATCTCAGATCTTTTAAGGGTTGGATCCAGACTGAAGCTTGTGTAATTCCTAGGTTCCTCGGGATGCCAATCCTGTGACAAACAGAAGCAAATAGAGAAAAATGAGCGTAGGACCGTATAATAGAACTGTTTTAAAGTATAGTCTGATCTCTCTTTATTCACAGAGTGGTAGTAGTAGTAGTAGTAATAATAATAATAAAAGTAAAGAACACATACACGCAAAAATACACACATTAAACTGTTATATCTTGTTCAAATTGTAACTTATTGATCATATTTTGTCACATTCATAAAAAAAATCAGATGGCCACCCAATAAGAAGAGTTATGTACACAATTATTTTCATTCTATAAATCGCATTATATACATTTCTTTTCTTTTTTTTTTTGAATACTTTATTTATAGGCATTTCTATTAACAGGGGAAAAAGTCGAATAATAAAAATTGCAACAAAAAAGAAACAAACATCCCAGAATATTCCCCCATTTCACTCTTTGTGCGGTTTTAACAGCAGAAACAAATAGCTAACAGTTCAAAGACAACAGACACTATCTTCAAAACAACAAACAAATGTGTAGCAGCAACATACATATGTAGGGTATAGGGTACATAAATAGGTCTAACAATTAGAAAATTTAATATTAAATATACAAGTGAACAAATCAATAAGTAAATAAAGAAGGAAATTAACCACCTTATACCTGCCTCAGGCTGTTCAGTTTACCATAGTTGTAACTGATGTGAAAGGCTATAAAACAAGACAACAGATCATCAGCAAAATAAATAAATGAATAAAGATAATGTAAAATATAAGTATTTTTTTAATAAAAAAAATAAATAAAAAAAGTTGGTAATGATAATAATAATAAACCAATAAAAAAAAAAAACAAATAGTCACTCATTTGGGTGCATTTGAGTTAAAAGTCTTGGCTAATAAATATAGAAATCCATAATTTCTTACAGTGATGTCTGAAATGCATAAACTATTAATAAAGAAGTAAATATATGACAATGTCAATACATTTATTATATTATTTATTGAAATTAATCCTGTAAAAAAATTAATCATTTAATTTATTACTTTGATGTATTTGTGTGACTATTGAGAGTCTAGTTCTTATATCTGACATGATTTTGGTTTCAAAGGGAAATTTATTGCTAGTGTTCTCTCACTGACAATAATGTGTGTGTGCTTCAGAGTGTCTGTCTGTGCTTGTTTGCATTCTCATTTAGAGAGTATGTTGGTCCATGTGTGCTTGTGTGTCATTTACCCCATGACCCCTGCTGAGAGAGAGGTCATGTCCATGAAAACCACACTGTGTGTCTGGAGCCGGTTGTCAGGTACCATCCTGTGTGATTATAGAGGGGAACACGGCAACAGTAACTACTAAGAAAAACAGCGAGATCGGGCTGATTCACCCAATTCACAGGGTCACACAATCCATGACTAAACACACACACTTTACCAGCCTCTTTCACTATGAGTATGGGTTTTTCTGTCCAGATGCATTTTCGTTTTATTTATTTATTTTTTAAAAGAAATTTAAAGAAATTAATACTTTTATTCAGCAAAGATGCATTAAATTTATCAAAAGTGAAGAGTAAAGACAGTTATAATGTTATAAAATATTTATATTTCAAATAAATGCTTCTATTCATCAAATAATCCTGAAAAATAAAATGTATCACTGTTTCCAAAAAAAATATGAAGCAGCACAACTGTTTTCAACATTGATAATAACCAGAGATGTTTTTGTTTTTTGTTTTTTGAATACTTTATTTATTGGCATTTCTATTAACAGGGGAAAAAATCGA